CGATGCCCCGGTAATCTGGAAGCCATCAGGTTTAAGCTTGTGGATGAACGGGAGGATGTCTGTGATTTTCTCACATGAGCGTGCCTGAACGTGTGTGTAGTTGAAAGATGAACACAGGAGACGCGGAGTCACAGATGATTGGAAGAGTACGCGGGCAGCTCGGACGACAGACCGCTAAGATCTACTGAATCAGCTTAAACGAGGACCCCTCGAAATGTTTCCACCTACCATACCTTCCACTACCTCTCACTTAACACATTATTATAACTACTCTATAGGCTCCACTTGCACCCTAGCGAGTAAAGCCGAACTCACCCGTAACTAGGAAACCGTCTAGGGTATATAATCGTTTCACCCCAATAACCGCTCGGCTAGGCGCATACCTGGACTGTAGGCACTCCTTATTCTTTCTTTTTCTGCAGGTAACCCTTATCAAGAATTAACTATATCAGCTGCGGAAGTTGCAAGTGATCCGGAAAGTTGCTCAAGTCGGCAGCCAGGGGCCCACAAAGGGGCTCCAAAAGGATTCCCTATTGTCGAATCATACGTAGGCGACCGATACACTCAAGGTGCAAGAACCTGGACCCAAATTGGCATCAGCCGTAAGTCCTGTGACCTGACCTGACCTGACATGGCCTTCATACAACTATTCTCTCTAGTTTGGGATGAATCCTCGGACGTAAGGTTTTGCAGATGTCATTTACCATCATCACTTGATCTAAATATCAAGAAGGAACAGAAATATTGGATAAATTTATTTACAAACATCGAAAGATCAGTGGTTTTTTATTCCTGTATAATTCTTTTTAATTTTGTTTTAAATTCTGAATGATGTTTCTGATAGTCTGACCTTGGGTGGTTACACAGCTTTGGTAGTTTCTGCTTTAATCGGGTGCTTCGGGACTTATCTCCAACGCTGACTGTGGGTACCCCCCTTTCGCCATGGATACGGGCCTTTCCATGGTGATGCGGCTGACCTTACCCATCGGCATCCCCGTCAAATCCTTTATTTCCCTAGGGAAGTAGCTACGTTAACGTACTTCAAAGTACCTTTTGTGAATCGTTTTCCAATCTCGGGTTCCTTTTAAGGATCAAGGATATAAGTTGCCGTTAGAAGGACGACATTCATGTAAGAAGGACACCTTACTATCAATTAGTATTCGGGTATTTTAGATTGAAAGTATAAAAAATGTCGATTCGTTAATTGAAGTCCACAATTAAGTGAATCAAAGTGTGAACACTTGAGTAAAAAAGTGTAGATTCATTTATATAACTGACAAATGTCTCAATGTTTCAAAAAATTCAAAGATTCTTTACAAGGAGCAAATATTAGAGCAAAATATATTCCCATTGAAGTCCGTTTGCACCAAAAATCGGACTACAGTGGGACCCGAATAAGACTCTATCAAACGGCTCACGAAAGACTGCTTTTACGTTGTAGTATATGAAGCTTATATTTTTCCACCCTGGCGCATGCATACTTCAGTCTTCAGTATTGAGGGCAGAGGGGAAGATACTTGTGTAAGCCCCGTCACCACTGGGTCGAACGTTCAACCACATGTGGTCGTTCCTCCAAAGCCCCTTAAGGTGCTCATCCAAACACGGTTTAAAAGCAGCGTCGGTCTTCTCATCTACAACAGTCTCCGGAAGGGAATTCTAGAGCCTTGTTTTCCTTCGCGAGACCCGGTAGACTAACGGAAGACCAACCGACGGAGGTTTACGCAACGTGAGAGAGTACCCGGCGTGCGTTCCTCTGTCCGTTAAAAAATGCCGCTGCAACGCTGGGCCCATATCACCTCTCAGAATGTTCCTTAAACAGATAAGATCTCCCCTGAGGCGTCGATACGCAAATGGGGACAGATCAGTAACCTGAGACAACCTTCCACGCTGGCCCCACGTGGACAAACAACGAGTCTAGTGGTAGCACGTTGTACACGCTTCTACTTGGCCAATTCACCGGTCACGCAGGGGTATGTCGTAGCGCTACCCTATTCAAGTCCCGGTCTGACGTGGGAAGCGTACAACAGTCTCAAAGCTTTCATCGTGAGCCAGCTGAAAGATCTCCGATTAGGTCCCGGAATGCTCTACGAACTAGCCCAGTTCCTATTGGTGTTTTTCGAGTCTTGCGCAGGATGTTTTGCGCAATTTGGTTCCTTGAAAGCTGCAGTATTGACTAGAAGTACCCAGGTGCCCACCCACTGATCGAGGGTGTTCAGATGTGCTTATAGATTAATCCGATAAAAAAGAAGGGAAAATAAAAATAATGGTTAGCAAAAAGTGTAAAAATAACAGTAGTGGTATAAAACTTCGTGATGATACCAGGTTGATAACCGCAATACAAAACTGCTCGATGTTCACTCACTCAGTTGAATCCTACAAACAGTGGAAAATCGTGTAAATGATTCAGGTTTGTTACAAGGGAGACCATGTATGGTATTTGGTGGGCAGAGTAAGCTCCGTCGCCGGTTCTTTAGCGGAAGACAGCTACTGTTTATGTTTAATATTGGAACTATTTCAATTTTATCTATTATTTGTGTCATTAATTTTGTAGCTCGACTGAAAATTCGGGTTCATGAGGATTAAACCCTCCTGTATATGAGTATAAATATGGTAGAGCTTTCTGTGAGTGAGCAATCGGCCATTCCTTGTCTACTGTGCCGAAAAGGCCTGCCTGCACATGAAGCCTTCTGATTTGAAAGTTTTCTGCGGATTGTGCGAGACCTTTTCACTCCGAGAATTGTTCTTGAAGTGTGCTACCAGAAACACAATAAGGTACAACAGATGACTGAATAATACCAGTCAGATAATTTCAAAAGCTTTTCTCGATCGCATGTACCCTTACTCTTATAAAGGTCAGTAAAACCCTTAAACACTTAGCTTTTATTTTGTGTATTGATATAAGTGACGATTTTCATTGATTACAGTAATGCACGTATTATTGTTGAGAGGATCCGCTGTCATCTGTTTTACCCTATGAATGTCTACCTCTACTTTAATCTTTGGGAGGAAATGTGTCTAGTTCTTTTGCTGTTCTATTTAAATACCATAATGAGCCGTTGTTTCTCGTTTCCATTCTTTTATTACACGAGGTCTTCGATAAACTGCACAATTCGTGTGCCGATACTTCTGAATTTAGAACTATGTTGAATGGCAATCTTCTGTTTCCTGAGATTAATAATTCTTCACCTTTATTCTATCCTTTGTTCTCTGATATGTTCAAGCCCACTCACATTTGCTTTTGGCTCTTAAAAGGACATTTATCTTTTATCAGAATTATACAATTCTGTATATTATCAATGAAAATGTGCCAACATTTATAAATTTATTCGTCATGGTTCATCACTCTCGCAAACTTCACCAGATTATAGCATATTCTATATATATGTACATATACATATATATAAGTGGCATTTAGGGTTTCACAATTTATGCGTTCAATCTCCAGATATCCTCTAATAATTCCCTGTCAAGATTTCAGATCTTCGAATAAAAGATTTTATCAGTTTTTTTCTAGGTCAACTAAACTTGCATTACATTCAAGCCTTATTATTCTAGCTTCCCCAACAAACTTTATAATTGAAAACACTTTTTGTGTATCACTGTCAAAGTCTATCATATCTGACTATATCTATTTACCATAAAATAGTTGCATTCACTTTACGTCTACCACATTCACCGAGTATAAATACAAGTTACTGTACTACCAGCTAGCTGCTAATAGTATATTACTTCTATCGTATCCTGTGAGATACCTTTCACTTTCACTGTAAATGTAGGTATTAATAATAATTTTTCTGATGGATTTTTATTACCGTGTCTGTGCCAATATTGCAGTATTTCATTGCATTCAAATTAAATAGATCGATATGCATTCTGCCCAAAATCCATCCCTCGGAATAAATAAGGCCAGTGTATAAATTCAAATTGACCTTGGAATGATTTATTTTTGTTGAAATTGGTATTGAAAATTTAAACAGAACCTTATTACTAGTATAACGTGGAGGACTTAGCCCACCGCTGCCACCGATTAGTAATACACGACAGAAGGTTGATTTCGGACAACACGATCCGAGTTTCTAATGCCAATAGCGTCGTCAGAATGCCGCTAACAAAATCCTGTTTGGGGTAGTGAACTAACTCGTAAATGCAGTCCAGTACAGACACTCAATGCACGGGTAGGAGACACTTCGGACGGCAAAAGGGGGATTTCCAAACAACCTGTAAAACAGAGAAAATACAAAACAAACATGAGCCAGAAGGTCTAATGAGACATGCACACGACTCACACTCAATCCAAAATGACGGCAAAGTACTCAGTGTGCCAAACGTTACATTAGCATCAAATTCTGCATTTTATAAGAGAATTTTCTATTATTTGTAAGTGGAAGCAAAAAATCCAAAGTTTGCAATATTTTTTAGAAAGTTTCATTTAATAAAGCAATCAAAATCACAAAGCAATTGAGCCATGTATTTGTAGTGTAGTTGAATTGAGTAAAAACTGATCTTTATAAGCCTTCCGAGGTCAACAAGAGAAGAAAATTTTAGTTTCTACAATTTCATCTTCAATTTTCACGTACCCTCTTTGGGGCGGGTTACTAACAGTATGACAATAAGCCGTAATGTGGAACGTCATTACCCATACCCAAAACACTGTCAGAAGACGTAGGTGTGTTGATTAGGCACGAATCCTCCAAATATATAAAGGTGAATTTATTTTTGTACAGGGGAATCCATTGACCTAAATTCATTTCGAACATAAGACAAAACTTTTGAATTTTACTCAGTGACTTACCAACTTCAGATTATTTGCATCCAGAAAAGAAACTTACTATCACATAAGAGGTGTTTGTTTTATTATTATCGTTATGAGAAGTTGTAATACCTTGAAAAAAGCTTTACATTTACCTTCAAAAGCACACCGCTTCATTATCTGCTGCCGATTGTAGAAGTGTTACCGTTCCCATTCATAAAGAATCACACATACTGTTTTCAGCTTTATAATGAGCTCTGTTGAAAGCGGAACACGTTTGGGTTTGGGTAAAGTTGAAACACGCGCCAATATTGTCCAGGAGCTTATCACGGATATTCCAATCCCAGAACCAGACGACCCAGACCTTTTTGACCCAACTTGTGACCCGGACCATCCAGTGGCCATTTCCTATCGCGATGTGGCTGCTGCAAATTATCGCATTCGAGAAGGAATTGTGCGTACACCATGTAAGGTACGTTTGTTTAACATAACTCTACCTGTTACTATCACTTGCGTTATGCACCTTGAAGAAGTCCAATTTATCTAAGCAGCTGAACATGAAAGTGTTTTTGAAGTTAGATTTCCAACAAGTAACCGGAAGGTTAGTTTCCTAATACTCATAACAAATATGAATGTCTTCTTTCAACAGTTTTAAGGAGCGTGGAGCAAGAAACCTTTTGTTGCAGCTAACCCCAGTAAGTACTTTATCCACCCAATTGAGCACCATGTTTATAGGATGTGTTATTCACATAAGTGTAATGACAAGGCTTAAGATGTTTGGCTTTTCTTGAAGTTTGACGAATTATTCGTAGGTGTCTTAGTTCACAATACCTCTTCGTTCTGTTTTTTCTTAAATATCTAAAACGGTTTGAGTTCATCTGCAATTATTTAATAATATACTTGAGATATTAACAATTTCCAGCTGGGATTTTTGTCTGACCATTATATTTTGATAAACAAACTTCCTCATTATCCCCAAGGCTGATTGTTTTGTTTTCTCCCTGTTCTGTTGCTATATTTCGCTCCCAATGCATGATTATTTTGACGCTTTATCTGTAAAGATTGTGTTATATATATATATATATATATATATCCATCGTGACAGGACTGCAGCTTGATGTGGAGTGATAGCTTGCGTGCCTCCATGACCCTGCGAGCTACACAGGATGGCTTTTCAGAGCCGCGGATCCAATTATGCCTTAAAGGTCATCAGGTAGAGGCCAGACAAAGCTCAGTCTCACAAAGCCAACTGCCTAGGCACATCCTGGCTTCCCTTGACCATCTCCTCCAGCCCCTGGAGAGACCATCACAGCAAATAAACACGACGAGGGGCAGTTTACCGGTAAAAAACCCGCTAGATGGACGTAGGAGCGTGGTACCTGGGGCTTCCTCTCAACGGTGGGAGAAGGTTTTGCACTTCACTGGACAGCCACCGCCCGCCCAAGCTGGGCAGCCCCCATCCGATAAGGTGCAGTTCCGTCCACGTTCCGCTTGTTTCATTGGGTGTATGAGGCCGATCCCGAAAAGCGGGCCGATAATCAACGCACCAGCGGACAACGAACCGAAATTCAAAGGCTTTGCGTGACTGGTCTCTAGAAGCTCCTAAACGGGTGCTTCGTTTGCTCTCCCGCGTTGGATTTATGCCTTATTGCCTTATGAGTCAGACTTTTGAGTCAAAGGCTCCAGTCAGGGTTTCCAAAGAAAAACACATTAGTCGGCGTGGACTGCTGCGAAGCATCTTGTGCTCTAACTTCTTAGGCACTCATTTGGACAACCATCTTTCCCTTCTGTCCAGTTCTTCTTCTCAGTCCCGAATACTCCTTGAGGCCTCCTATTTACGCCACCCATCGAATATCAATCAGCGTTTTACAAGCAAGGCCATACAATCAGAAGTAACAGGATTTTTAAAGTCAAAATCCCCCTTTCACCTAGCTGCGTTCAGTGTCCGCACACTCTATCAGATTGGTCAACAAGCTGCCTTGGCTAGAACCCTGGAAACTTTCAATGTAGATGTATGTTGTGTCTCCAAAACACGCATACAAGACCGCACTTCCATTATCTCTCTGCGTTCTCCTGATCCAACCTCAACCTGACGCTTCACCCTTCGTCTGTCAGGCGATTCGGCATCCGAAGCTCGCAGTGTCTCTGGTGTTGGGATTGCGCTAAGTGCCAAGGCAGAGTTCAGTTCAGTTCTTACAACTATTAACCATGCACTTTCGTGCGCTGGTTTTGGTTGCCCATTTGGATAAAACAGCAGAATGATCATTAGAATGTTGAGAGCAGATTCAAGCGGAAGGTAGCACATTTTCGTAGACCGAGGTTACAAGAATAATGAGTAGATGCATGAGCACCATTGTATGCGACACCCAGTCATATCACTCAGTGTTTCTAACCACCGGTGACTATGAACTCTGAGTCCGCAGCCAGGGAGCCTAACGGGACCTATGTGACCCAGTCCCTTGGTCAGGGTTTTTATACCCTCATGCCAGGTCCCA